GTTAAGTGACTTACCCTGGGTCACATAGCTAGCTAAGTGTCTGAGGCTGGATTTGAACTCAAGCCCTCCTGACTCCAGACCCAACATTCCATCCACCGAGCCACCTATCTGCCCTATATAATCCTCTCAGTAGAAGTTTTGAAATTGGCACAGAATGCTTCAGAACTGGGCCAGCAAGCTACTATAACTTTATGAAAACAGGAGATAACAATCCTTTTTCTTCAAAGGGCCAGCCTCCTGTGTAGTGCAAATTGGGCAGAGTAGCCTGCTGCCGGCATCTCAGTGCAGGACCTTCTCCTGGTCTTACGTCATTCAGTTTAGCCCGTTTTCTGCCTCAGTGTAGACTTAATAGTTCTGGGGTGGGGGTGGGGCCAAAAGCCACTGGGATGCCATTGCTCCTCTGGTTAGGTCTGGCCAAGGGACTGGGGGCTGCTGATCTCTGCTTTAAAGCAAAACATGTCAAGTCATGAGCTATGATACAGGATTGTTTTCTTATCTTTGCCAGATTTCTGTTTTGCAGTTATAGAAATATGCTTGCCACACCCATGTTGCTCTTGGGACCATTGTTTAGGATGACTGGACAATATCACCACATGTCACTGATTGCCTCTGATATTCAGCAGCAGAAATCCAGTCCAGAATTCCTGATTGTGGAGTAGTTATTCTTCCAGGGATCGTTTAAATATGTATTAAAAGCCTTTGTCTCAAGTGATGGTGCTATATTAGAAATCTAGTCATTGGTGAGGGAGAGAGAAGGCAGTGAAAGGAGGAGTGTCTAGGGGTATGATGGCAGTTGCCAAATCTCGTGGTTTCTAATTCTCAGCCTCTTCTCTTCACTCACACAGCTACTATCCTGGTTTAGGGCCTTGCCTGGGCTATTTCATTGTCTCCTAATTAGTCTCTGTGCCTCAAATGTCTACCCACCCCAGTCTATCCTCCATCTAACCACCAAAATGATTTTCCTAAAGTGCAGGTCTGACCATGACACTCCCCACTACTCAATAAGCTCCAGTGACTCTCTATTACCCCTGGAGCAAATATAAACTCTTTTGTTGGGCATTTAAAACTCTTTACAATCTGACCCTATCAATGAATGAAAAGGCATTTTAATGCTTACTATATGTCGGGTACTCTGCTAAGCCTGGAGATGTAACTAAAACATTGAGGCAAACTCCCTCCAGGAGCTTACATCCTAAAGGGGGAGACAACATATAGTGAGGAATGGTGACTAGGGCAGAGTATTTTGATCTGGGAAGTCACAGGGATGGTGAATGGAGTTACAGGGCAAGTGATTGACATGCCGTCTTAGAAGGCATGGTAGTATGATTTGATTTGTATTCCCAGAGCAAAAGGTGGAAAGAGGTCTGGGCCATGGCACCGGAATGGTATAGCAGGAAGATGGCCAGAGTGAAACATGGTCAGAAGGTTTGGGCCTGTTGGATATAGTGGGCTATGTCAGTTTATGTTCACATACTCACTTGTCAGGACAGTAGGACCCCAGTAGGGGTTCTAAAGCTAAGTGTCATAACCCTTCCAGGGCATGATACCTACAGCTCTAATTCAAGGGGTGCAGCAATGTCACATGGTAATGATGGCTGGGTGAAGCTGACCTTTTTTTCTTTCTTTTCTTTCTTTCTTTCTTTCTTTCTTTCTTTCTTTCTTTCTTTCTTTCTTTCTTTCTTTCTTTCTTTCTTTCTTTCTTTTTTTTTAGGTAATCAGTGTTAAATAATTTGCCCAGGGTCACACAACTAGTAAGTGTCTGAGGTCAGATTTGAACTTAGGTCCTCTCAAGCTTTATTACATATTACTCTCATTTACCCACCTTGTGGCCTACCCATACTGGCTTTCTTGCTATTCTTCACACACAACACTATCTCCTATCTCTTTACCTTTGCATTGGCTGTTCCTTATGATTATATGTCTTCATTACTTTTGCTTCTTTGAATCTCTGGTTTCCTTCAAGACTTAGTTCAACTCTTATAGTCCACATCAGACTTTTTCTGGTCTCTTCAGCTCTAATGTCTTTCTCTCATGGTAACTTTGAATCTGTTACTTTGTGTTTTGCATATACCTATATATATGTATGTTGTTTTCCCCCCATTATGGAAAATAAGTTCTTTGAGGGCAGGGACTGTTCTACTTTTGTCTTTGTACCTCTAGCACCTAGCATAATGCCTGGACCTTGAGGTGCCTAGTAAATGCTTATTGGCCGATTCTTTTATTTTTAGTTTATGTAATTGCATGCTCAGATGAGGGCCAATACAATGTTGAGTCCTTAAAGGTTCTAGGTATTTAACCATTGAAAGCAGAGATATTCAACCACTGAAAATAAATGAGGCTGAACTGAATCTATGTCGGATATAGAGGACAGTAGATTAGAACCACAGGATGAATGAACAGAAAAAAAAATTAAGTGTTTACTGTGGGCTAAGCATTGTGCTAGGTGCTAGGGATACCAAACCAATCTAAAAAAATCAAAATAATTTGTTGCCCTCAAGGAGCTTATTTATACACAAATAGTGGTAGATAACACATATAGGGAAATGGTGGTCAGAGAAGAGTATTTTAGTTTGGAAAATTTATGGGATGAGTGGAGCCCTAGGGGTATAGATTGACCTACCTTTTCCAGGAAACAATATAAGTGTAAAAAAAGGCTTCCAACTAAGCTTGGGGAGCTGCCATGTATACAGAGAGAGACATGATTATTTATTGATGGAAAGAAGACTGAGCAAAATGAAACATATTTGCCTCTAAGGAGGCAAATACTGAAAAGAGCAAACACTTATGGGAAGCAAGACCCATCATTTCTCTGGATTGGCTTAAAATTCTATAGACTGTTAGAATGAACCTCCCCTGGAGAAGAGTGCTTTTTCTCTTCTGATTTGAGCTGAGATTTCACCTCCCTCCCGGCTAAAGAGCTCATTCACTCTTGTGCATTTTCTAGTATATTCTAGAGTCTGTGCAAGTCTTCCAATTTCTATTTGTTTGGATAATGGATTTACTCAAAGATAGCTATTTGGTTGTTGTTGTTTTTTGTTTTGTTTTGTATTGTTTTGTTTTGTTTTGGGCTAGGCAATGTGGTTAAGTGATTTGCCCAGGGTCACACAGCTAGTTAGTTGTCAAATGTCTAAGACTTTGAACTCAGATCCTCCTGACTCCAAGGCTGGTGCTCTTTCCACTGCGCCACCTAGCTGCCCCATTGGTAGCTATTTGTAATGGTCTTTTGTGTAATTAGCATTTGGTGGGAAGGAGTTAAAATATCAAGAATAAGCTAAGGGCCACTTTCCCCCTTAAGACAGACCAGATTTTCCTTCTAAACTCAGATTTGTACCCCTGTATCATAGATGTTTCAGGGGGCAGATAAATATAAATCTAGCTCGATATCCCTCTGAGACAAGATAAAATAGTGCCCAGAATCTGGGACTTGCCTCCTTCCTCCAACCCCTCCCCTACTTCCTTGGCTCTCTTCCTCTCCATAGAAACAGGTAAGATCATTTCTATCTATGCCACTCATGATGTGTGTATGTACATTTAAATAATTCTTATGGACACAACTTACCATAAGGTGCTATATCTTACAAGAGAATTTATATGATTATAGTTTTAAAACTGGAAAGTTGGGAGGGGATGGCAAAAAGAAGATAGTTCCTAGAGGGTGCTGATTGAAGTGAAGCATAGATGGGGCTGGATAGATGTAGTAGGCCATGTAAGGGATTTAACATTTAGGATGGCATGGACCCCAGCAATGGTGTTTCAGAGCTGTGTGGGCTAAGTCTATGAGTCCAAAGGGTGAAGGGACAGGGTGAGAGACAAGAAGATGGTTGAGGTCCTAGATCAAAGGATCTAGTTGGGAGGACCTTAGAGTCCATCTATCCTAACCACTTCACTAACATTTTTATTGATGTCTTTTGTTTTAGGATTGCCTTTATTTTCTAAAACATTTCTCTTTCTTTCCTACCTAGTGATTTATCCCTTATAACCAAAGAAAAAAGAGGGAAAAAAGTAGCTCAGGAAAGTCAAACAATTCATTACCTGAATCTGACAACATAGGTAATATTCCACACCCATAGTCTATTACCTCTGTAGGGAGATGCAATTTTCTAAGTTCTTCTCCAGGGCTAGGCTTACTATAATTATATGGTATTCAGGGTTTATTTTTTTCTTTTTCATCTCCATTGTTTTCCTGGTTCTGTTAACTTCACTCTTCATCAGCTCATACAGTTCTTCCAAAGCTTCTCTGAATTCTTCATATTCTTTGCTTCTTATGGTATAGTATATTCCATTACATACATGTACCACAATTTGTGTAGCCATTCACCAATAAGTAGAAATCTACCTTTCCCCCTCTAGTTCTTTGTGACCATAAAAAGTGGTACCATGAATATTTTGGTATATATGGGACTTTTCCTTCTATCTTTGACCTCTTTGGGGAAAGTATGATAAATACCTAGCAACAACATCTCTGAGTCAAAGAAAAAAAATAATATGGACACTTTAGTCACTTTCTTGGTATGATTCTAAATTGCTTTCCAGGATGGATGGGCTAATTTTCAGCTCCACCAATAGTGTATTAGGGTGGCTCTCTTTCTGTAGTCTAACAATGACTATTCCTAATCTTTATCAATTTTGAAATGAAACGTCAATCATTTGGATTGTATTTCTATCACTGTTTGTTATTTAGAATACTCTTTCATGTATTAAATCTCTCATTTTACAAATGAAGAAAGGAGCCTTAGGAGGTTAAGTATCTTGTTCAAGTTCAACTGATAGCAAGCATGAAAGGTGGGATTTGTCTCAAAGTGGGATTTGTTCCCATGTCCTCTGATTCCAGATCTGGTGCTCTTTCCCCTGACTTTTTGGGTTCCTGACTTAGCAACAGTAGGACTTCACCCAAATAGTCCTATGCCCAGAGATTTCTGGCTATTACTGAATGTGAATCTTCATGGTTTAATTACTTTCAGACTCATTCACCTTGGCTGATTTTTCTTTGGTTGGTTTAGATCGGTCGGCTGATCATTGGCCAGAATGGCATTTTGTCCACGCCTGCGGTTTCGTGTATTATCAGGAAGATCAAAGCAGCTGGTGGAATCATTCTTACTGCCAGTCATTGCCCTGGAGGACCAGGAGGAGAGTTTGGAGTCAAGTTTAATGTTTCTAATGGAGGTAGGTAGACTTAAAATAAATGGAACACATTTATACATCTGAAATATTGTGAAATGGGTTGACATAATACCCACTTACCTCTTTTCCCCTTAATAGTTGGTCACCAAGCATTTATTAAGTACCTATGATATGCCTAGTACTATGTTAAGTACTGGGGATATAAAGAGAGGTTAAAACACAATCCTTGCCCTCAAAAAGCTCACAATATAATGAGGAAGATTCTTTTTTTAAAATTTCTTTTTCATCTTTAAAAATTATTATTTTAACATTCTTTTGAAAATATTTTATTTTTTCAATTATACATAAAACAACTTCTAACAATCACTTTTAGAAATTTTGAGCTCCCATTTTTCTTCCTCCCTTTTTCCCCCTCCCCATCTCATTGAGAAGGCAAACAATTTGATATAGGTTATACATGTGCAGTCATGTAAAACACATTTCCATATTAGTTATGTTGTGAAAGAAAACAGACAAAAATGGGGGAGATTCTTAATAGAATTATAGGTTCATATAATTTTAGAGCTGGGATTTTGGAGATCACCTAGTATGGGAGTCCTTTACCTTTTTTGTATCATAGACCCCTTTGGCAATCTGGTAAAGCCTATGGACTCTCAAGAATAATGTCATTAAATGTATAAATGATTACAAAGGAAACTATATTGAAATACAATCATCAAAACATTTGAAAAAATCCATGAACCCCAGATTAAGAACTCTTTATAGAGTTTGAACCCTTCATTTTACAAATAAGGAAACCAGAGACTAAAGAGATTCAATGACTTGTTCAGGATCACTTCTCCCTCCCTCCCTCCCTATATACATATATATATATATATATATATATATATGCATATATATATATAATATGTATGTATGTATTAGATCATTGAAAGCACTCTGAAGACCTTGAAAGTGACCTGAACTAGGGTGATGATAAAGACAATGAAAAAGAAAGGATATTTGTGAGATACTTCAAAAAAGAAGAACAGATAGGATGTCATAAGTATACTTAGAAGTTGTGGGAGGGATCAAAGCTGACTGTGAGATTTGGGGCCTGGGTGGCTAGGAGGAGGATGGTGTTCTTAACAGAAATGAGGGCCATAGGAGAAATCTTTTAGAAAAGGAAGATGATTAATTAAGTGTTGGAAAGGTTGAATTTGAGGAACATATGGGATATCTAGGTAGAGCTGTTCAAAAGGCCCTTGAAGTGCTGAACCTGGAGCACTTGAGTGAGATTCAGGTAGAGGTAGAGATTTGAGATTCATCCACATAAAAGTGATAACAAGATGTAGGAGTGAATGAAATCATCATGGGAAAGAGAGGATGGAGAGGAAGGAGACTTAAGCCAAGAATAGAACCTGGGGATAGCCAATAATTAATGGACAACAGAAGAGGAATCATTTGAGACAGAACAATAGCCACAATGGTAGAAGAATTAGGACAGCAGGGCCAGAAGAACCTAAGGATGAATAAGTATCAAAGGGGGATTTGGAGGATCATGACAATGTCAAATACATCAGAAAAAAATGAGGAGAAAGACTGAGATTTATAATTTAGGATAAGTTGAAAGTAGTTTCAAACAACGAGTGGGGACAGAGACAAGATTACAAAGAATTCAGATATGAATGCATTGTAAGGAAGTGGGGACAATAAGTATAGATCCTTCTAGGAGTTTGGCAATAAAAGAAAGGCAAGATTGAATAATAGTTTGAGGAGGCAGCAGGGTTGGGAGAAGGTATTTTTCCCTCCAATATGAATAGAAGAGACCTGAGTATGTCTGCTTGCAGTTAGAAGGTAAGGAGCTAGTGAAAGAGTGGTTAAAGTAAGTGCTTAACTTTTTTAAAAAATTCATGTCATGGACCCCTTTGGCAGGATGGCAAAGTATATGGAGCTCTTCTCAGAATAATGTTTTTAAATGCATAAATATATGTATATACATACATACAAACATATGTAGGATTGTGAACATACTGAATATATTGAAACAAAGTTTAAAAATATATTTTAAAAAACCAACTTCAAGGGTCTTAGGTTAAGAGCTCTTGGGTTGAAGATCTAGGAAAGAGCATAATTGATGAAGCAAGACCTCATTGGAGGCAGGGGGATAGGGTCAAAACAGAGGTTGGGGTGGGCTTAATCTTGGAAAGAAGAGGAGTTAGATGACAATGTAGAGAAATTTTGAGGTGGATAGGAGAGAAATTGTAGGAGTTTGTCAGATGACTTTAATCTTCTCGGTAAATTAAGAAGCAAGGTTAGCTCTGAGAGTCAGCAATGCTTACTAGGGCTGCTAGGTGGCACAGTGGTGAGAGTGTCAGGCCTGAAGTCAAGAGCACTCATCTTTGTGAGTTCAAATCTGGACTCAGATACTTACTAGATATGTGACCCTGCATGAGTCACTTAATCCTGTTTGGCTCGGTTCCTCATCTATGAAATGATATGGAGAAGGAAATGGCAAACCATTCCAATATATTTACCAAGAAAACCCCAAATAGGGTCATGAAGAGTCAGACATAACTGAAATGACTCAACAACAAATACTACCTACTTGAGGTTGGTACCTTTTGAAAAAAAATTCTTTAAACCTCCAGGACCTAGTACAATACTTTTCACACAGTAGGTGCTTAATGTTTGAGTGAATGAATTAGGATCACAGAGGTCTCAGTGGGTTAAATAGTATGAATTTATAGTGTACCCAACCTGAAGGTTTTTGTGATTTTCCCTAGGAAGGCTTGATAATTTGGATATGGGAGCACTGAAAGCAGGTGATGAGGGTAGCAGAAAGGTCAAGGTTAGTGACTGTTAGCTAGAACATTCCTCAACTACCCAGTCTAATCTAATGCCTCATTGCAATGTGGAAGAAAATAACCCTAAGTAATTAAAGATTTTGCCAAAAGAATACAAGGGCTGGCTGGTTTTACCAAGCTGGAAAGACTGGATAAGGGCTGGGTAGTAGACAAAATGTTGTTGTGTGAGAACTAGACTAGGGAAATTCAGAGAAATCCATTGCCAGTTTGGTTACACAGTTATGAAATTTTTTTGGCCCTAGAATCTCTTTAAGTTACAAAGGGGTTGTTATCTGGGTCAGTGGAAGTAACACCTACACTGATAAATCCATAATGTCAGAAGGGTCTCTACAGAACAATAAAAGACTCATAGAATGTGAGGCCTGGAGCCTCCCAAGTATGTCTAGTCCACAAACATTACTCATAACATCGTACAAATATGTACAGCTTGCACTGTTCTGCTAATCCTACTCTGGGTATGAGAAATCGGTCGTGACTTTGGCATCAATATTCAGCCAAAAATATTTTTTAAAAGCATGGATCATCCCAAAGAACACAGTATATTGGGTAGGGGCCAGGGAGAGATTAATACATTCTCTTATCCAGCAACCACAAAAACAAACACATAAACAAAGAAACCCCAACACACTTTTCCAATTTTGCAAAGAAAAAAAAGGAATAGAGTAAGGAAGAGGAATTGGGACTTGTTTTCTGGCTTCCTCAGTTTTCCTGTGTTGGTAACCAGCTCAAGTAGTATCTTGGTCAACAAACCAGCATCATCATGGTACAGCATAAAGAGTACTTACTTGATTTGCATTCACAGGGTCTGAGTTTTACTACCTGTGCCACTTTGGGCAAGTCACTTAGCCTCTCACTGGGCCTCGGTTTCCCTTTTTGTAAAATGAGATCTTAATCTTGTAACATTCTTTACATAATGTATTGAGGTTGGCTTCTTTGGTTCATCAAATATTAAGTGCTCAGTACTGTGCTAGGTGCTGGCCAGGAATTTTTAGAAGTATAAAATATGGTCTCTGCTCTATATTTTCTTGAGGATGTAAGGTAAGGCTTATACTTAGAAAGCAACTAGTTATAGGCTTGATATTCCTTCAATAAAAATAAGCATGTTTTAAAATAACAATTGACATTCATATAGGACCTTAAAGTTTGCAAAGCATTTGTCATACATTATGTTTTTGGAGCTGCACAACAACTCTGAAAGGTAGATATTACAGGCATTATTTTCCACAGATTAAGGCTCAGAGAGGTTGAGACTTGCCTATGATGAGGAAGTCAATAAGTATTAGAAACAGGATTTGAAACCACATCTGCCTGACTCTAGGGGTGTATAGGGTGTTTAGGGAGGACTCGCATCTCTAGTGCTAGTGAGGACTTGCTGAGCCCTTTTAAGGACCGCTCATCTGCCTTTGGTATCCACCTGTCACCCAGCTTTCACCTGTGACTCCAAGAAGCTATAGTGTGCATAGAGCCACACCCTGGTACAGCCATCTTGGCAGATGGGCTAAATCTAGGTTGAGGGAACCAACAGGCCTCAAACCGGCCGGTGAGTTGGGAGAATTTCTACCCCAAGTGTGTGAAGACCTCCTCTGGTGGAATGGGTAGATGGGAACAATTTGTTCCAATGGCCATGAAGGTGGCTGAAGCAGGTGATGTGGAGCCCTTCGAGCTTGCTCAGATGTCAAAGATGCCAAGGCCATCCATGGCATCCCAGGCCATTGTCAGTCATCTTGCCTTTTGTTTTGCCACTGGACTTTAATGACTCAGGAAGAGAGAGTGAGGCTGATGAAGTTGCACAACTCTGCTTTACTTAAATCCAATTCATAAGCAAGCCAAGATATCATGTGTGATCTCACACCAACCTGACTCCAAGTCCAGAGTATAGTAGAAGCAAATTTTCATGTTCTTTTTTTAAAAAACAGTATTTTGTTTTTGCCAATTACATGTGAAGACAATTTAAAATTTGGAAATTTAAAAAAATAAGGTGGAAAATTAAAAAATTTAAAAAAACCCACCACAAGCAAAAATTCCCCAAACATGTGGGCTATTAATCTGAAGTACCATATTCTTGCTAACATGGATTTGGACATCAGAAAAGCAGAGGCTATTTGAGTAATTTTCTGTTGAGTATGAAAGAGGACAAATGAATCATTTTCTTTGCTGGTTGGGGGAGGGAAACTATTGCTTCTGTAATTAAACTCTGTGTATGTGTGTGTGTGTGTGTGTGTGTGTGTGTGTGTGTGTCTGTTTGTGTGTATGTATGTGTGTGTGTGCACATGGTCTTTTTAATTTTAGGTCCTGCACCAGATATAGTTTCAGATAAGATCTACCAGATCAGCAGAACAATTGAGGAGTATGCCATCTGTCCGGATCTCCGAATTGACTTATCTCGACTAGGAAGACAAGAATTTGATTTGGAGAACAAATTCAAACCCTTCAGAGGTAACAGTAACCTGAAATTCAAATGATATGGCATAGCAAGTCTACAGATCGTGGGTACTAGGACTGTTTTGGAATCATTACTATGTGGGAAACTAAGTCAGAGATGGTTAATGTGTGCCAGGCACTGATCTAAGCTATTTACAAATATTATCTCATTTGATCCTTTCAACAACCCTGGTAGGTAGGCAGGTGCTATTATTATCCTCATTTTACAGTTGAGGAAACTGAGTCAGACAAAAGTAAAATGACTTGCCCAAGGTTAGACAAGCTAAATTTGAACTCAGGTCCTTCTGACCACAGTCCCAGCCCTCTATCAATAACTGGTTGATAACCCTAATTGCGCCCTTATTTTAGAAGTAAGGTAACTCAGACACCACTATTAAATCATTGATGTCCTTAGGCAAGGCTGAGTGGGATTAGAGTTGTTCATACTTTGTTCCCAAAGAGGACCAATGACTTCAGGAGGGTAATGTCTTGACTTGCAAGTGAGTTGGATTTAAGTGAGGCAAAGCTGTGCAAAGTCATCAGCCTCACTTTCTCCTCCAGAGTCATTGGGGTCCAGTGGCAAGCCACAGGTCAGGATGACTGGAGATGGCCCTAGATACAGTGGGAAACCCTGGTGGAGGCAAAAGAATATAAATTTCTGCCCTTGTTTATCATCTAGGCAGAGAGCCAAAGTACTCAGACAAAATGACTTGGGAACAATATGAAGTCAGATTTACCAGTGCAACATAATCCATCCCAAACTGAATACTTGTGTTGTCTGAGGCCCCACAACAAGGTCGACTTTGAGATTCAGGCTGTTCCATTGGGAAAGAGTGGGCATTTTAAAACAGGAGATGTGCTTTTTGTCTCTTCTCAATTAAAAAAAAAAAACCTGGCAAGGTCCACTTATCTCAGGTTTAGCCCCATTGTCCTGGCCCTGCAGCTTTAGAGATAGCTGAGCTCCGAGGTGCTTCAAGTTACCAGAAGGGAGTGGGGGCAGGGATTCCTTGGCACCAAAGTAGAATTTGGGAAGGTATGTTTGGAACAATTTCTGCACTGACCTTCCTTGCTGTTTTAAGAGCTCAACAGTCAGCACCTCATTGTAGGGCTGACTAATTAAAAGACAACCAAATCCTTTTGCTGCTCACCTGTCCAATGAGGAGAAACATCCAGTTTTCAATGACTCCAGTGTGCTTTCTTGGCTACTTTCATTCTAGTGCCAGGCTCTTTTTTTTGTCATATCACCTGCCTCATAGCTAGGGGTATGCCGGAGCCTGCTCATATTGGCTGGAGATAGCCAATTGTTAAAATTTCAGTGGGACTGAATGTTTACACCTCAGAAATCTTAAAACACTACAAATCAGAGATTGATTTATTGTTTTGTGGATTGTCTAGACTTAAGAAAGTGAATGAGAAAATAATGCAGAATAAATCTAAAAGTGTGTTGTGTGTATATTTTTCCCCCCTCTGGAGAGCCAGTTAAAAATTTACCAGCATACTGCTGTGTAACCAAAGATAATTAGAGTGATATCTATATTTATTTAAAACAATTAAAAACTGACCAATATATTAATTTAATTTTCCAGAAGAATAGTTTAAGTGAGCACCAATTTGACCATGTCATTCTCTTACTCAAAAATCTTCAGTGGTTCCATGGCCTCCAGGGTAAAATACAAAGTCCTAAAGACTAGCATTTATAGACCTTCAGAGTCTGACTCCAGGCTGCATTTCTAGATTTACTTCGTATTAATTTCCTTCGCATATTCACATAACCTTTGATTCCATACCAATTAGTCTACCTGGTGTTCTCTGAACTCAACATTCCATCTCTCATTCTCATTCCTCTGCACATACTTAGAATGGACTCCCTTCTCAATTCTACCTTGGTTTTATTCCAGGCTCAGCCTAGGTACCCTCTCCCAAGAGAAGTAGTTCTTTATCCCTTCTCAAATTATCTGTGTAAATGTAACCCTACAATATAATATTCTGCAAGTAACTTGAGGATAGTGTGAGTTTTCTGTTTTGTCTTTGTACCTCAAATATTTAATACAATGACTTGCTTATATAAATGTTTAATACATGCTTATTGACTGACTGACTGAATATTCATTTTACTAGATGAAAAGATATTTGTATAGTATATAGATATAATAATTTGAATTAAAATAAGTTAAAAATATCTGACATCAAAGAGACCTTCGAGATTGTCTAGTCTAAAAGATAGAGAAGCAACTGATTTGAGATCACACAGTAGGGGACAGAGCAAAGACTTAAACCTTGGTTGATTTCCCCCCTTGGTGAAAAGAATTTTATGTTCAGAATAATTTATTCCTATGGATAATTTTAAAGGTAATTTTATTTATTTGTGATCATTTATATTGATGCTCTCAATTTTTTAAACCTCACAGTCATTTCTGGAAATATTCCTCCACCAACCTCCTCCCTTCCATTTATGTTATAGCAAAGAAAAACAGTTTAGTAAAAACTAATCAGCTTTACAACATGTCTAATGTGAAAATAGGTTTAATATGAATGTATATGTTGAGCCTATAACAATTTACATGCCATCTTGGGGGGGAGGGGAGAGATGGGGAGAAAATTTGAATTCAAAATCTTATGGAAATGAATATTGAAAACAAAAAATAAATAAATAAATTTATTAAAAAAAACTTATCAGTAAAGTGATGGCATCTGACAATGTATGTAACATTCTTCTGCCCCTATAGTTCCCCGTATATTTTATTATCTATTTTCTGGTATCAAGATTGGTTATTATAATTATTCTGTACTTGACTCTGAGAGGCTATGCTATAAAATCATGATTATGTTCTAGTTTGTAAAGTGCATGTGGAAATAATAATAACAATAACAACAACAACAATAATAATGATAACTAGCATTTATATAGTATCTACTATATGCCTGGTTCTGTGCAAAGCACTTTAAAAATATATCATTTATCTTCAAAACAACCCTGGGAGGTAGGTGCTATTATTATCCCCATTTTATAGTTGAGGAAACTGAGGCAGAAATTAAGTAACTTGACCAAGGACACACAGTTAGTAAATATCTGCTGAGCTTTACCTGAAATGCGTGAAAATATCTCCTAGATTCCACAGGGCCAAGTCCATTTTTAAGCTACCAAGTCAAATCAAGTCCAGTCCAGTTGACAAATATTTGTTAAATGCCTGATATGTTCCAGGTCACCCTACTAAGACCTGGGGATACTAAGAAGGCAAGAAAGTTGTGCCTACTTTCAATGGGCTCACAGTCTAATGGGGCAGGCAACTCACACAGATGACTACCATGGTTTCCTTTTGTTTCCTGCCCTCAGTGGAGATAGTGGATCCAGTGGACATCTATCTCAACCTCCTTCGGACCATCTTTGACTTTAACACCATTAAGAGTTTGCTGACTGGACCCAATCAACTTAAGATCCGGGTGGATGCTATGCATGGAGGTAAGCTCATTGGCTTGGCAAGAGAAGTCAAGATGGACCCTCAGACTCTTAAACAGTCCTTTTTGTTTTCTTCTGATCATGAAGAATAATAGATTCACTGGCATTCTGATGATGTATGTATTCTCTAATGTGAAGAATGCTCTGGAAGATCTTAGTATCCCAGTTTCATTCTTCTAATGCTGGTGAAAATAGTGTGGAAAAGTGAGTTTGAAGTTATTACATGTGGATATGATGAAACTGTAGTCCTTGATTCTTTTTATTTTTGAGCATGAATAGGGTGTTCCAAAAGTCTTTGGAGTATGTTAAACTTTAATAGCTTACAGCTTAAGCTCATGTGTTAGGGCAGTGTTAAGCTTTAGTACTGCTCCAAGTCTCTGAGGACACTTTGTATTTGTATAGGTAGAATCATATATTCTTAGAGTTAGTTGTAAGATATCTCAAAAGGTACCTAGTTCAACCCCTAGCTTGATCATGAATCTCATCTGCAGTAGCCCCTTTCAGTGGTAATTTGAAGGGTTGTGTGTCTGAGCTAAAGTTTATGAAGCTCACTTTGGAAATTAGCATCATGTGGGATTTGTACTTTACAGAGGGAAAAAAGGGTAAGCCAAAACATGCTTTCTTCAACATTTATTTTGAATGTTAAACTTCATTTTGGTAGGTTTGTAAAATGCTATCTCAAGGTTGTTTAATTTGCATTTCTCTAATCAATAATGATTTAGAGCATTTTTTCATATGACTATAAATTGTTTTGATTTTATAGTGAGGCCAGCATAACACTGTACAGGCATTGAAAGTATTTTTTCTTTTAAAATTATTTTTATTGATGTCATGTTACAGTTTAGACAATAAATAAACACATTGATGCAAAATTAAAATATATTGCAAAGCATAGTACATTTATAAAAATAGATAGCTGGTAGACATAGTACTTGTTATATAAATTCACATATAGCCTTTTGAGAAAAAAAGAAAAACAACCTTAGCATCAAGTAACCTACTTATTCCTGGCAATTCTTTCAAACATCTAAATCTCAGAACTCTACTCATTTTACCCTGTTGCTTTACCAATCAACATTTATTATGCATTTACTGTGTGCCACGCACTATCAGTTCGTTGGATACAAATGCAAAAGAATGAAATAATCCCTATTCTGAAGAAGCTTAAAATCTAATCAGGGAAGTCAATAAGTACATGTAAATACATACGGAATAAACACAAATAAATATAGTGTACTTGAATACAAAATAGTGAGGGGAGGCATTAGCAACTGGTGGTGGTGGTGGTGGGGTGGATCAGGAGAGGCTTCATGCTTATGAAAGAAAACGGGCTCTTGAAGGCTGGGACACTAGAGTACAGTTTCTGGTAGACTCTGTGTGTGGGCCCACAAAGATTTTTTTTGGAAAAAAGGTCATGGAACTTGCATGTTTTACTTTATGTTGTATTTTGAATTATGACCAGAGGATTTTTTTTTCTCTTGAGGTTTTAAATGGGTTACTGTGTATGTCTGTGACTGGAACAAAGAGATCTCTACTCTCCTGCAAAGATTTAAAGTTGGGTGATGCACTGTCTTTTCTTCCAGTTATGGGACCCTATGTAAGGAAAATCCTGTGTGATGAGCTAGGTGCCCCAGCAAATTCTGCAATAAACTGTGTTCCTTTGGAAGATTTTGGAGGACAGCACCCTGACCCAAACCTAACATATGCAACCACCCTTCTGGAGGCAATGAAAGGGGGAGAATATGGTTTTGGAGCTGCGTTTGATGCTGATGGGGTGAGCATGAAGGACTGGTTCTCTCCCCTCCTAACCATTCACTAGAATGCTTAAATGTCAGGTGTTTGTGGTGTAGTGGAAAGGCTGATGAATTGAGAATCAGAGGAAATTGAGAATCAGAGGACTTGGGTTCAAAATCTGCCACTTACAACTTGTGTGGCCTTGGAAAAGTCACTATTTACCTTCCTGGGTTTCAGTTTCCTCATTTATAAAAGGAAGGGGTTGGATGAGATCAGGTGGTGTCAGACTCATGGAAATGGGGTCACTGATTCACATATAAGGATCCCTGCAGGCTGCATATTGACTTAGTTTTCAAAAGTAATGTTATCTATGTGTTATTAATTTTAATTTTTTAAAAAAATATTTCCCAATGACTTTTTAATCTAGTTTGGGCTGCACTCAGGAGTGTTGTGGGCCTGGACACCTCTGGACTAGATGGCCTCTTAGCTTTAAATCAATGTTCCCACAACCCTAACTGTAACCAGAGTTAATGAGTGTGACTTCAGCACACATAGAAAATGCATTTGTGGAGACCTGTACTTGAATTGTATTGTTTTTCAATTTATTTTTTGCTAAATTTTGCTTAGTGCTTTTTCTGTGTTTAGAAGAAGCATCAGGGGGCAGCTAGGTGGTGCAGTGGATAGAGCACAGGCCCTGAAGTCAGGAGGACCTGAATTCAAATCTGACCTCAGACCAAACACTTGACACTTACTTGTTGTGTGATCCTGGGCAAGTCACTTAACCCCAATTGCCTAAAAAAGAAAAAAAAAAGAAGTATTGGAATAGAAATCATCTATTTCTTAGTGCTTTTGGTATCCATTCACTGATTCCAAATTGTACACTGATTATCTACTTTGTATAAAGGACTAGTTTAGGGTCAATGACAAGACATTTTAGAAATCCTTCTCTGCTTGGACTTTGAGACCATGACATCCTTGCCAATGGTGGCGAGCTATTCTTGTGGGACAGCCACTGTGATGAAGCCTAAGGATTCCTGAGTCTTGCTTTTGGCATTCTAACTGAACCTTTTGGACTTTCAGACTTTTCCATTCACCTTGGAGAGGAACTTTCCTACGTGTATTATCTTTCCCAATTAGACTGTGAGTCCCTTGAGAGCAGGGACTGTCTTCTTTTGCTATTTGTATCTGGAGCATTTATCCAAGTGTTTAGCATATAGTAAATGCTTTTCATTCATTCATTGGTACAACCAGAGAATCATAAAATAGCTAGAAATCTTAGTTAACATTTAAAAACAACAACCCTATGTTTTTCAGGTGAGGAAAGTGAGTCTCAGAGAAATTAGGTGACTTGCCCAAGGTTTCATGGCTAGGTACTGGCAGAACTGGGACAAACATTCAAATTTAATATATGCTTGCTGATTAATTGGCAGATTAACCTCCACCCTCCCAGTCCAGTGCTCTTGTCATTTCATTGTATGTTTCCAATCTGCTATTTTAGCCCTTGGTGACATAAAGGAGTGCCTGTGCACCTATATGAAAGGAAGTTAATGAAAGCCTGAGGCAATTCCCAGCATTTAATCATGGCACTGTATAGGCACTGAAAAGATTTTTTTCTTTTAAGATTATTTTTATTGATGTTTACGTTACAGATAAGCAAAACAATAAATACATTGACCAGTATATGCAATATTCCATACTCGTCTCCCATTTCTATAACAAAGGAAAGGAGGTGCATTCTTCAACTCTGAGACCAAGCTTGGTCATTATATTTATGTAGTGTTCAGTTTTTGTTGTTATTTCAGCCTTTTGTTGTCATTGAGTTGTTTCAGTCATGTTCAACTCTTTGTGACCCCATTTGGGGTTTTCTTGGTAAAGATACAGGAGTGGTTTGCTGATTTCCTTCTCCAGATCATTTTAGGGATGAGAAAACTGAGGCAAATAGAATTAAGTGACTTGCCCAAGGTCATAAAGCTAGCAAGTGTCCAAGGCCAGATTTGAACTCACAAAGATGAGTCTTCCTCACTTCAGGCTTAGCACTCTCTCCACCGTACCACCCAGCTACCTTCTTTCTATTTATATTATTTTATATTGTTTTCTAGATTCTGCTTACTTAACTTAGCATCAGCTCATTTATGTCTTTGCATATCTCTCTGAATTCTGCCTATTCACCATTTCCTTATAGTGCAGTAATATTTTGTTATGGTCATATGTCAGAATTTGGCTGTTCACCGTATAATGGCACCTACCTACTTTTTGTTCTTTGCTACTATAACAAATGCTGCTATGAACATATTTCACCTTTGCAGCTTCTCTCATATATGTCACCTTCTCTCCTCTGACATTGCCACTACTCTAAAGCAGACCCTCATCACCTCACACGTGAACTCCTGTAATAGCCTTCTAGTGTGTCTGCTTTCCTCAAGTCTCTCCCCACTCCACTCCATTCGCCATTCAGCCACTAACGTGATTTTCCTAAAACACAGGTCTGACCATGTTACCTCTCTACTCAATAAACTCCAGTGGCTGTCTATTGCCTCTAGGAGCAAATACAAAATGCTATGTAGGGCATTCAAAGAAAACCCTTTATAACCTAGCCCCATCCTACTTTTTCAGTCTTCTTACATTTTACTCCTGTGTGTGTACTCTTTGATGCAGTACTCTATCTCTCCACTCTGGCATTTTCTCTGGCTGCTCCCCATGCCTGGAATACTGTCCCCACTCCTCTCCAACTACTGACCTTCCTGGCATCCTTTAAGTCCTAACTAAAATCTCACCTTTTATAGGAAGCCTTCCCTAACCATGCTTAATTCCAGTGCCTTCCCTCTGTTAACTATTTCCAATTTATCACACACTCACCCACATAATATCTTACTTTGTGTATATTTATTTACATGTTGCCCCCATTTGATTATGAACTTCTTGAGGGCAGGGACTGTCTTTTGCCTCTCTTTGTATCCCAGGCTTAGTACAGTATGTGGCACATTGTTGTTCAGTCATTTAGTTGTGTCTGTGAGGTTTTCTTGGCAAAAATACTGGAGTGGTTCGCCATTTCCTTCTCCAGTGGATTAAGGCAAACAAGTTTAAGTGACTTGTCCAGGGTCACACAGGTAGTACATGTCTGAGGCCAGTTTTGAACTCAGATCTTCCTGATTCCAGGCCCAGTACTCTATCCTGAGTCATCTAGCTGCCATCTAGGTTTGGTACATAGTAAGCACTTAATAAGTGTTTGGTATATATCAGGCCTTTCTTCCTGATGAGATTTTATTCAGGCAAATCTCAATACCTTAACAGAGCCTGAGATTAAGAAGCAACCTTGACACCCAACCATTAGGGCTGAAAAAGTGCCTTCATGGGTGCTTTGACTCAGGAAAGGGAGGGAATCAGCAGACTATGGCAATTGGGATGAGTTGCTGTAATGCCTCTGCTTGGTAATTTCTATATTTTACTTCCTACAGGACCGTTACATGATCCTAGGCCAAAATGGCTTCTTTGTGAGTCCTTCTGATTCACTGGCCATCATTGCTGCCAACCTCCCTTGCATTCCACATTTTCGTCAGATGGGAGTTCGAGGATTTGGGAGGAGTATGCCAACCAGCACAGCCTTGGATAGGTAAGGAAGAAGTGTTTGTCCTGAACAGCTTCCATTCTTTAAGAATCATTTCAGTCATGTTTTTGGGGCCATGACTTCATTTCTTCTACTTGTTGAACATGATTGCATGAAACCTGTCGATTTTATAGTAGTGAGGTGATCTTGTGTGAATTTTTGCTTTCATTATCTGATATAAAGGAATGGATTCCAGGGTTTTCATTTTATCTGATTTGTGGCTATTGGGCCCATTGAGTTCACTTGTTGTAGCTTTCAGTCAGGGGTGGTAATGCTTGGCAACTGATGGGGAATATGCAAGATTCATCCAAACTTTTGGATTCTAGAAAAACTAGGGGTTGGCAACTTGCGGAAGAATAAAGATTAATTTATGTTGTCTCTTATTTCAAATTGGATTAGGCTTTTTCAGAGTTCTTGCTGAAGTAAGAAGTGGGGGAGCTTAATCACAGAAAATAATGTTAGAAAGGCGTTTCTGATGAACTGATAAATAGAAATATGCACAGAATGATTTTACATATATATACCTATTTGTGTCTAATGGTAGCTCTCTCTGGGGGGGGAAGGGAAGGGAAAGGAGGAAAGAAAAAAATTTACATGATAACTTTATAATATATTTAAAAGGAATAGCAAGTTGTACATGATAGATTTGCAATTTCATGTGTAATCATCTTTTTTATTATATTATGGGAATGCTTATTTTATTCTATGAATTAAAAAAGAAAATAAGAAAAGAAAAACATCTCTTAGAATAATTTCTTTCTTCAAGATGATTTTGAGTTCTGAATAGGGGGTTTGTTTGGATGGTAGTCATCAATTACCTTTTCTCATCTTAGAAAAAGCTTTACCTTTCCAAAACTCCTTCTGATTATGGGCAAGAGAGAGAGCCACTGATATTTATATATGATTTGCATAAATAAAAAAATTACCAATTTCATGAAACTATCTTTAAGCAAAATTTGAAAGTAAAGTAAAATGAAACCTTCTATCTACTATGCTCATGTACAGGAGATATTTTTACTAATTTGGCAACATCTTGGGTTGGAAGAGAGAGAAGCAGAAGAGTAGATAGGGCACTGGTCTTGGAATGAGGAAGACCTGGGTTCATAATCCTACCTTTGACACCTACTAGTTGTGTCTTAGTTACTTACCAGTTACTTAACCTCTCTGTGCCTCAGTTTTTTCATCTTTAAAATGAGGGGGGTTGGTTTTGAGGACCACCAGGGTCTTTCTAGCTCTAAATGTATGATTCTCTGTATAACTTCAAAGACTTTCTTCTCTATCTCTCCTTTAATTTGCAAATTTTCTCTTACTCATCCTTTTGTATATTCATCAATTTCCATTTCCCTAGTTATACAGAACTCTCACAGACTCTCTGTCTCACTCTCTTATTTTCTCTCTCTCTCTCTCCTTCTCCTCCTCTTCCTGCTCCTCCTCCTCTTCCCCCCTCTCCTCCTCCCCCCCTCCTTCCCTTTTCTCCTCTCTGTCTCTGTCTCTCTATCTCTCTCTCTTTTCCCCCATCTATCCCAACCCATACATTGGGACACTTACCTTTTGTATGCAGACTCTTCCTTTTCCACTGCTCATCCTCCACAAAACTCTAGGGCATGATATCTGAAGAGGAGGCAAGCACTGACTTTCTCCTCATGCTACCAAGTACAGAAATATTATGTTGCTTTTCACCCTCTTTTTTAGTGAGTAAACTAGGATAGGCGAGACTTGACATAAAAGGAATAAAAATAGATCTCTAGTCCTGGTTTCCTATAGGGAGAGGAATTAGCTGTTTGATGGATGGTACTTTCTTCTCCCCTTCTTGGCCCCAGCCCATCTTTCTAGCCTCATTGTCCGTTATTCCGCTTCTCTTGGTTCCTTATATCCAGCATTCATCTCCCTTCTCTATTTCAACTGTCCCCCATGAGTGGAGGGCACATCTTCTCACTTCCGTCTCATAGAATCCCCTACTTTCTTCAAGATACACTTAAAATACTACCTTCTATAGAAAGCCATTCCTGATCCTAACTGCTAGGGTCCTTCTTCCATAATTACCTTATATTTGACAACCTTATATTTATTTTGCATTTATACATAAATATGTACATGTTATCTACCCTGTTAGAATGTAAGCTCCTTGGGCAGCTAGGTGGCACAGTGGATAGAGCACCGGCCCTGAAGTCAGGAGGACCTGAGTTCAAATCCGACCTCAGACACATAACACTCACTTAGCTGTGTACCCTGGGCAAGTCACTTAACTCCAATTGCCTAAAAAAGAGAATGTAAACTATTTGAGGTCAAGGACTATATTTGCCTCTCTTTATATCTCTTGGACTTAGCACAGTGCTAGGTACATAGTAGGTACTTAATAAATGCTCTGTTGATTGATTGATCAATTTCACTAAGTCAACAGTGGTAACACAATGAAGATGGGCAAACGTCCATTTAATATTCATGTCCAATACCTTTAAAGGGTAGGCTGACAGAGTATGACTTAGTTGCTCATTTCTTCTTTTTGAGGTCCCCTGGACTTTTATAATTCCATGGTCTTTTATGAGTCAGTGAAAATGTTCTCGAAGCAGTGGATTAGGTTACTAAAACTGTTTCTGGAAATGCTAAGAAACAGAAAGACAAAAGCAAGGACTGTCTTTTTTTTTTTTTTTTTTTTTTTTTTGGCATTAATTGGGGTTAAGTGACTTGCCCAAGGTCACACAGCTAGTAAGTATCACGTGTCTGAGGCTGGATTTGAACTCAGGTGCTCCATGACTCCAAGGCCAGAGTTTTATTCACTGCACCACCTAACTACCCCCTAAGGACTGTCAGCTAGTTGTAGATTGCCTTATTCTACTGAGTACTGTGCATCCTTTTTAGCATTCTGGGTAATTAGGCAATTAGATCTCCACACTCCACTCAAGCCCTACTCAGATGCTTCATTGTGGCACAGTGAACTCTAGTCTCTTAAAAGCTAGGCTGATGGAACAAAAGCTTTGGTAGGTCCTATCAAGCTGAAAAGATTTTTTTTTTATAGCAACCTGTTGATGGACAGCCATCCAAAAATCAGTTTGAAGAAGCTTATTGCCAGAAAGCTCATCTACCACTAGGTAATAAAAATAATTTTTTTGGCCATAGCAACTCTAGAAGACCACCTACTAATTCCACATCAGTGCATTAGTGAGTAGCCATGCCAATAAAATCATAAATCTTTGGAAGTATTGATACAGCATGATAATCAAATTTGTAAATGAATCACGGCATAGTGGACAAGAGCGGTAGAATTGGAGTCTGGGAGACCCAAGTTTGAATCCTGCCTCAGATCTTTGTTAGCTGTGTGAGTTAGTCATGTTGCCTTTTTTACTTTCACTTTTCTTATCTGTGAAATGGGAATAATCATAGCACCTCCTTCTCAGGGTTGTTGTGAGGACAAAATGAGATAATATTTGCAAAGTGCTTTGCAAAACTTAAAGCATCTAATGAGACAATAATTGTAAAGCACTTAGCACTGTGCCTGGTACATATTGGGTGCTATATAAAAGTTAATAATAATAATATATTATTCATTATTGGCAAAATGATTTAAAACATTTTAGCTCTGCTGTAACAAGTCCACTTACATGCTATTTGGTAAATTGGGTAACTCAGTCTCAGTTTTTTCATATGTAAAATGCATCTATTTCACAGAATTATTGTATCAGATGATAGAACATATATAAAGTGTTTTGCAAATCCTGAAGATTTGTGTAAATGCTGTGGCTGCTGCTGCTGCTGCTACTACGGGCTACTACAACAGAAGGTAAAGAGTAGAACGTGGCATAGTAAGGATTTAAAAGGATCTTGGCAGGATAGAATGATGGGCTGAATCTAATAAGATTACATTTAGGAGAAATAAGGGCAAAATCTGACACAGATTTAAGAAAAAAACCTATAAATCCATGATCAGATGTGGATAGACAATAGTTTGTGTGAAAAACATTTGGACTTTTCCCCCACAAAGATTGCAAGCTAAAAATGAAACAGTAATGTGACATGGCATTTCCCCCAAAGTTAATTTGTTTTTAGGCTATACTGATATCAAGGGATTGTCAAGAATGAGGGAAGAGGTAACCCCAGTGTAAGCTGACCTAGTCAGACTACATCTGGAGAGAGAAAGTCCCACTGAGATTTGAACTCAGATTGCAGGATTCAGAGTCCAGAGTGCTAACCATTATACCATGGAATCACACCATTACATCTGGAATGAATGGATAGATAGATAGATAGATAGATAGATGGATGAAAGGATGGATGGATAGATAAATGAATGAATGAAAAAAACATTTATTAAGTACTTACTTTGTGCAAAGCACTGTACTTAGGAGAATTGTGTTCAGTTCTGGCTGAGCATTATATCCTAGAAATGCCATTGCCTTTGCCATTGGAGTGGGCCAAGATGAGAATGCTAAGAATGGAGAGAGGACTTGGGATTAGGTCATACCAGGATTGATTAAAGGAACTAAGAATGGTAGACATGATAGCTGTTTTCTGTATTTGTTGGGCGTTCATGTAGAAAAGGAATTAGGCCTGTTTCTTTTGGCCTCAGAGAGCAAGACCTAGGAACAATGGATAGCTGTGAGAGGAGAGATTTCAGTTTCATACAAGGAGAGACTTCCTGGCAATCAGAGCTCTCCGGAAGTGGAAGGGGCTGACTCATGTCACAACTCTCCCTTTTCAATGCAGAGGCTTTGCAAAGGCTCCAGGAGTCCTTGTGTGTGTATGTGGCAGAGGGGATTCTTTTAGGGGTATAGAAAGGACTAGATGTTCTCTGAGATCTCTTTCAATCCTGAGATTCTATGATTCTGAGACTCTATGTCCATAAATTAGGATGACACTCTACCCTCTACCCCCCAAAACCAATTGAAGCAGTTGCCCTGCTAGAGAGAAGATGGCCATAACCATCCAAAAGCCTGACCAGGAGAAGCTGCTTTAATTCTGACAATAAAAACCACTTGGCCTCTTTCTTGTGGAAATTTCCCAGTCCTTCT